AGCTTGATCAGCAGCTCTGCGCGCTCAACAGCACCTCCCAAGTACAACTTTAGGAGGTGGCCATTCACCTTGAATGGCTCAGTTTGAGCATTGCTGATCTCCACCTCACCGTGCGGGAAAACTTGGGTGACCGTGAAGGGTCCCGACCACCTCGAACGTAGCTTGCCCGGGAAGAGTTTCAGGCGTGCATTGAAGAGCAGAACACGATCACCTACCTGAAACTCCTTCGGGCCCCTCAACCGAGCGTCGTGGAGACGCTTGGTTCGCTCTTTGTAGAGCAGGTGGTTCTCGTAGGCGTGGTAACGCCATTCCTCCAACTCCAGCAGCTGCAACTTACATTCAGTACCTGCAACACTCAAATCCAGGCTTAGCAGGTTATTGGCCCAGAAGGCCTTGTGCTCTAGCTCTACTGGCATATGACACACCTTCCCATAGACAAGCCTATAGGGAGAAGTGCCAATCAGGTTTTTATAGGCCGTCCTATATGCCCAAAGAGCATCATCGAGCTTGGTGGACCAATCCTTGCGGGACTGATCCACCGTCTTTTCAACTATTCTTTTAAGCTCCCGGTTCTTTAGCTCGGCTTCCCCATTTGACTGGGGGTGGTAAGCCACCGACATCTGATGCTTAACACCATAGCGAGAGAGGAGTTTAGTGAATTGCCCTTGAAAATGGGTTCCTCTATCACTAATGATGGCGCGGGGTGTCCCGAACCGGGAAAATAGCTGCTTCAGAAATGAGCAGACCCGTCTTGCATCATTGGTGGGCATGGCTTGAGCTTCTGCCCACCTCGAGATGTAGTCCACTGCAACCAAAATGTACAGATTGCCAAAAGATGGAGGGAATGGGTCCATGAAATCGATATCCCAAACATAAAAAATTTCACAAATGACAGAAATATGTTAGGGCATCTCATCCCGGGCAGAAATGTTACCTGACCTTTGGCAGCGGTCGCACTATCGTGCAAAGGTGTCCGCATCCTTGAAGAGTGAGGGCCAATAGAAGCCCGACTGTAGCACCTTCCGCGGCGTGCGGTTTCCTCCATGGTGACCTCCAGTAGGCCCCTCGTGGCATTGAGACAGGATGTCTCCCATCTCGTGCTCAATGACACAGCGCCGGATCACGCCATCTACTCCGATCCTGAAGAGGTAAGGATCCTCCCAGAAGTAATGCTTCAGGTCGGAGAAGAACTTGCGCTTCGCATGAGTGGCCATCCCTTTTGGTAGTTGCTTGCCCACCAGATAATTGGCAAAGTCTGAATACCAAGGGACCACGCTATCCACCAGTGTCATCGCTAGCAATCGCTCACCCGGGAAGGAGTCATAAATCTCTTCCATGAAGTTGTCCACTGGAGGGGCATCCAACGTGAAAGATGATCTGCAGCAACATTCTCGGCTCCCTTCTGGTCCCGGATTTCTATATCGAATTCCTGCAGAAGCAAGATCCAGCGGATGAGTCTAGGCTTTGCATCAGCCTTGCTCATCAGGTAGTGAATCGCCGAATGTTCAGTGTAGACCACCACATGGGAGATCACCAGATAGGGTCGGAACTTATCAAATGCATACACCACAGCGATGAGTTCCTTCTCAGTAGTGGTGTGATTCTCCTGTGCATCGTTCAAGGTCTCAATCTTCGCGCGATCCACCTTAATTCCCTGCTTGGAGATCTTGTGTCCGAGCACAATCTCCTCACGGACCATAAAATGGCACTTCTCCCAGCTGAGTGCCAGATTAGTCTCCTGGCACCTCTTTAGAACGAGCTCCAGGTTATGGAGACAATGAGTGAAGGAGTCTGCATAAACCGAGAAGTCATCCATGAAGACTTCCATGATCTCTCCGACCAGTCAGTCGAAGATCGCCATCATGCATCTCTAGAAGGTCGCCGGTGCATTACACAACCCGAATGGAATCCTACGGTAAGCAAAAGTATCGAAGGGGGAAGTGAATGTGGTCTTCGCCTGATCCTCTGGTGCAATAGGAATCTGTAAATAACCGGACATGCCATCCAGGAAGCAATAAAACTCATGACCAGCCAACCTCTCCAGCATCTGATCAATGAAAGGTGGGGAAAATGATCTTTCCTGGTGGCGTTGTTCAGGCGCCGGTAATTGATGCAGACTCTCCAGCCGGTCACGGTCCGCATCGGGATCAGCTCTTTCTTCTCTTTCGGGACCACAGTCATCTCGCCTTTCTTCGGGACCACCTGAGTGGGGCTGACCCACTTGCTATCGGATATAGAAAAGATGATCCCTGCATCCATGAGCTTCACAATCACTGCCCGGACCACTGCCTCCAAGTTAGGAGACAATCTCCGTTGTGGCTGCCTGATTGGCTTAACCTCATCCTCCATCAGAATTCTGTAGGAGCAGAAGGATTGGCTAATGCCTCTGATGTCTATGATCTTCCATGCCATGGCGCGGACATACTTCTGCAGTAGAGCCACCAGCCTGCTATTCTGCTCGGGTTTCAGATCCGAGCTGATAATGACCGGGAGCTTATTCCCCTCCCGGAGAAATGCATACTCCAGGTGAGAGGGGAGGGGCTTAAGCTCCAGCACTGGCGGCTCCTCCAATGAAGTAGCGATCCGGGGCGAGATATGGATCGGCTTGAATGGTATCCCTCGCCCCTCGGTCACAACCTCATCTAACTCCACGAGCTGCTCCTCCAGCTGCACATCCTGTGATGCCTGTTCCCCTAGCAAAAGACAACGCTCAAGGAAATCGTCAGTACCCGCACTCGTGATGGCGAGTGCGGTCTCAAAATCAGCAACAACATCACAGTAGTCTAGATCATCATGGAGCTGGGGGTGTTTCATATTATCCGAAATTTGAATGCTATCAAGTCCTCTGCAATGCCCCTAGGATATACAATGGATCTATCAGCAAGTTGAATGCTCATCCTAGTATCACTAGGTTCACCTAGGCCTAGCTTTTTAAACAGTTTATATGGCATGACATTTATGCTAGCGCCTAAATCCGCCAAAGACTTCCCTATATGCAAACTACCAATTATGCAAGGGATAGTAAAACTCCCTGGGTCTTTTCGCTTCTTTGGTAGTTTGTTCTGCAGGATGGAAGAACACTCCTCGTTGAGCATCACCGTCGGCAGCTCCCCAAGCTTCCTCTTGTTGGTGAGGAGATCCTTCATGAACTTGGCATACTTGGGCATCTTTGATAATGCCTCCACGAAGGGCATGCTTATGTTTACCTACTTCAGCATTGCCATGAACTTGGAAAACTCAGTCTCCAGTCGGTCTTTCTGCAACCGAGTAGAAAAGGGAAACTGCGGTACATACTCCTTCACCACTGGTTGCGGTTTAGGAGCAGGCACCTCAACCTCCTTCTCCATTTTCTCCTCATTAGCTGGAAGTGCTGAAGCAGGGGTCCCCCTCTCTTGTGCCCGAATAGGTGGATCAACAGTCACCTTGCCACTCCTGGTGGTAATGGCCTTGCAGTGCTCATTTTGGTCCAGCGGATGAGGGATGGTCAGACCAGGTAGAGTACCAGGAGTCCTCAGAGGTACAGCCTGGGCAACACTCCCAAGCTGGGACTGGATATCCCGCAGCACAGCCTGCGTGTTTCTCTTACCAGCTTCTAGCTCCAAGAATTTACCTGAAGCTTTCTCCATGAACTGCTCGATGTTATTGAACTTTTTTGCACTAGAGGTGGCCAGAGAACCCACCAGATCTCGCAATTCCGCCATCGGGTCACTCTGTACTGGGGCAGTAGGTGCTGCCCCTGTCTGATGAAATGGTCGCACCTGTGACTGAGGTGGAACTGGCCCTTGTCTGGGCGGGTAGAGAGACTGTTGCGGCTGCTGAATTGCCCTTGTCTGGGCTGGTGAGGAGGCCTCTGGAAGCCAGATGGTCCCTGGGGGACTGGTGGTCTAGAATTTGCCCCACCCCATGAGAAGTTGGGATGCTGGCGCCACCCCTCGTTGTAAGTGTTGCTGGAGGGGTCGAAGCGCCTGGCATTGTTGATGAAGTCCACCTGCTCCTGGGGAAGAGACGACTCCCTCATCGCTAGGGATGGCAATGGGGCTGGTTTGGGGCGGGTTTGTCTAAACCATCTCCATCCCCATCTTCAAATACCCAAACCCATACCCGCCCCATACCCATGCGGGGGAATGTTTTGCAAACCCATCCCCATACCCGTGGGTTTCGGGTACCCATGGGTAATACCCGTACCCATACATCCAACATTATTATACCTAAAATTTACAAGAAAAGTTTTAATTATTCCTCTAAACGAACCTATTATATCATGAAGTCAACAAAACACGATCATTTTCTTAATACGGTTCAAAGTATATGATCCTAAAACATCCATTAATACATAATATAGAGTATAATATTTTTCAAATTATTGTCTTCTAACTCTTATACATCTACTAAGTAATAATTAACTAACATAATCTTGTAGACAAGAGGAAAAGTGAAAGAGTGAAATGAGAATTGAGGGAAATGAATTAGATTTTGATTAAAATGGTCACTCAATTGCATTTCTACTATTTATTTCCTTGAGTTATCCTCATCACCATTGATAGATTACAATTTAATCCACATATTTTTTTTAGATGTGAAGAAATTCTCTTGGTGGGGCGGGTATGGGTATGGGGCGGGGGAGGTCAAAACCATACCCGCCCCATACCCATCAAACTTTTTGCGGGTTTTACCCATACCCGCCCCATACCCGGTGAAAGCGGGGATTCCCCTCGTTGACTGGGTCGGGGGCGGTCGGATACCCGCGGCCATGGGTTTTATTGCCATCCCTACTCATCGCCTAACAGTCCTCCACGGTGTGTTGGGAGCTCTCACACCACTGGTAGTGCATCGCCTGCGGCTGTCATGTACCTGCAATCATCCCAAAGCGATCGATGGCTGAAACCAGCTTTGATACCACCTGCACCAAATCATAATACTGGGTGGCTACAGCATGCACACCCCGCCCTGGTGCTCGTTTCGGTCTCCTCGAAGTTCCCCAGTCATAGCCCTGCTCTGCCATCTCTTCAAAGAGTTGATTCAGCTGTGATGGTGTTTTGGTGAGCATATTCCCGCCACAGACCGAGTCAATCAGCTGCTTGTCTTCCGGGAAGAGGGCATGTTAGAAGGTGCCAACCTTGAAGGTGTCAGTAAAACCATGGTTGGGACATTTGAGGAAGAGACTGGTGTATCTCTCCCAAGCATCCCGGATGGTCTCATCTTCATCTTGAGCAAAGTGGGTTATTTGATTCTGCAGGTCCGCCGTCTTGGACAGGGGATGGTAGCGAGTGAGGAACTTGTCCGCCAAGTTGGCGAACGTGGTGATCGAGCCTGGAGGTCGAGTGTCTAGCCACTCCAGAGTAAATGGGAAGTACCTTAGCTGGATGGCATCAGCTGGGACCCCATTTATCTTGATTCCATCAATGAGCTCGTGGAATCGCCTCAGATGTGATCGGGGGCACTCCCCCTCTTTGCCACAGAACACCACCGAACCGCGCAGCATGGTGATGACAGAGGTGCTCACCTCAAAGTTATCGCTCCCATGCATCACGAAGTGACTCGTCTGGATCTTGGCGGAAGTGAGTGATCTCCCGCTGGATCTCTGTGGTCTTCGATGCTGGATATTACCTGTGCACGAACTTGTCGGCCAGATCATCCCAAGAAGTGATGGACAACGGGGGCTCTAGAGTAACAAACTTTCACATTTCTACAATAACCTAGAAATTCCCTGGCAACGGCGCCAAAAGCTTGACACGCTAAAACACAACACCAAACTGCGACCAAGTGTAATCGCAGTCCGGAAATGCAGTAAAGTGGCAAGTTCTAATTATCAACTTGGGGTCTAGATCTACTGCCTACTCTGTATATATTTGTTATCTAGCAAACTAAGTCAATTGATTGTGGTTTTAACTAAAAGCAGTAAGAAAGAAGGAAATGGTTCAGTTTTCTGAAGCAAAGGAAGAGTCACTCGGGAATGAGTCCCCTTAGCTCCTTAGTTAAGTATCAGTTTTAATTACCCTGGGTTGATTTACTGTTGATTAAACTGCGGAAGATCCGACAGTACCTTGGAATCTATTAAGCTGACCAAGCCCTCTCAGTCCAACTACCCGGCAGACGACTAGTCTTCACCGGGATAGAAAGATGAGGCAATAAGCACAGAACTCCACTACTGGAATTGGGTTCCAGTACAAAGTAGTAGATTGGTTAACTCTCGTATAACCAATCTACCACTACCAAATGATGAAGCTCTAACAACCTAATCGGATTCTATCTATCTCAGGTTGCAGCAGAAATCAAGAAAAGATGATCACACTTCAATTGATTCAATGAATCATGCATCATTCGATTAAAACCAAACAGTATACCAATCCCAAGTCATTACAATCAAGATCCCTAACACATGGAACTAGGGTTCTTCATACCCAAGTGAGAGAGGGTTCGACTCCATAGAGAGAGAGGAAAACAGAATACAAAGCAGTCATACGCATAACAATGGGAAGAATATGCTCTGGGATGATGATCTTCACTCCAAGGATGATTCCCAAGCTTGAATGATGAAACCCAGTTCCAAAACCACTCTTAGGGGGTGTTCTTTGCACTTTCTCTCTCTAGGGCTCCGTTTTTGCTCCAAAAAGTTGATTCCCTCTCCTTTGGCTCAAATTTCGGTTAAAACCCAAAAATTCCCGACCATACGGCCGTGTGGCTTTCCTAGCTGCCCGTGTGAGTTGTGCAAAACGCGGCATTTCGATAAGTGGACTTCAGTCATCCTACACTGCCACAACCACACGGCCGTGTGGATTTCTAGGCTGCCAGTGTGAGTTCCCTGGAATTTCCACACGACCACATGGGTTCCCTTACACGGCCGTGTGGGTTTTAGGCATGCCCGTGTGACTTCCTCAGCTTCTCGCCAAACGTCCGATCTCCGTCCAATCGACCCCGAACTCGTTCTCAAACCTTCATTCACGTACTATAACCTGAAATATTACAAACAAGAACAACCTAGTGTGAAATCGGCCTAAAACACGAGAGATAAGACTCAAACGGTGTAAGAATAGTGGACAAAAACATGTATATATATCAAGTCATCAAATGCCAATCGTGGTATGAGGCGCATGCTGCCACTCAGAGTTTGGAAAGGCGGCGCAGGAGATTTAAAACAAGTAGGCAGAGTTAGTCAAAGAGCGAGATCTCCTACGCTGCGAAAAGGAGGCGTTTCGTGGAATGGCGCTCAAGCTTCCAGAGGAGAACAAGAAGTTGAAGAATTCCAAAAAGCACTACAAGAAGGGTCTGAAGGCGTCTCAAGAAACCGAGGCACGCCTCTCTAAGGACTTGGCCGACTTCTGCAAGTCGGAGGTGGGTCGGAATCTCCATGCTGACACTGTGATTGATACGTTGAAGATCTTCCGGCACAAGTTCAGCAAGGATTAGCCTGAAATGAGCTCGACGCTTTGGCCTTGATCGAGTATATACTAAAATTCATGGATAGCGACCGTCAACCCAACGATCTTGGGCTAATTGTGGGGTTGGAGGTTCCCCGTCCTGTGGAAGAGGAGGCGTCCAATGAAGATGCGCAGGGGACGCCTGCAGGGCCGGTGGTTCCACATTCTGCCGAGGAGGTGCATAACGAGGATGCGCAAGGAATGCCTGAAGGTAAGGCGCAGAGCGAGGAGGAGGAAGGTACGTCAGGAGGGTAGGCACGGAGCAAGGACGAGTGATCCGAATTCTACCAATATATTTCGTCATTCTCGATGCCAAGTGTTATGGCCAACTTTTTTTTAATCTAGTATGCCTCGCTTGCTTTTCCTTTGTTGGTGTGTTTGCCTCGTCGTTCCCCCTCTATTGGTTGGCTTATGCGAAACTCTGCCCCGCCCAACAGGGTTGGGGCCTCTTACCATTACAACACAACCATGATGTGGGTGCATGAAGGTCAGGGCGCTTTACAATTTCACGATCACAATCATAGCACAGGCACAATAGGGTGGGGCGCTTTATGATAACACTCGTGTATAGAAATGAGGGGTGCAATTAGGAGGGCGCTTTGAAAATTACTTTACGAATACTACGTTAGTACATTCATGATCAAGCACGTGTGGTCAGGGCGCTTTACAATTTTTCGATCATAGTCATAGCACAGGCGCAATAGGGTGGGGCGTTTTACGATAACACTCGTGTATAGAAATGAGGGGCGCAATTAGGAGGGCGCTTTGAAAATTACTTTACGAATACGATGAAGGGAGCATGGTTTCTGGACGCTTTACAACTTGACATTTTTAAAAGAAACATAAAAGACAACACAATCACAATAACGATCACAACCACAAAAGCACACGCCTCCTTCGCACCCCGACCAAAATATAGGTGCCTTACTCCGCCTCTACCATTGCCTACTCCCGCGGTTCCTCGTCCTTCGTACCATGGTACCTTTTGAGGTTCTGTGCATTTCATGTGCGCTTGACGCCCTTGCCCCCAAGGCGCTCGAGTTTAAACGTGGTTGGTCCCACTACCTCTCACACACGGTATGACCCTTTCCACTTTGGTGCAAGCTTGCCTTCGTTTGCGTTCGGGCGGAAGTCGCGTCGCAACACCAGGCTTCCTTGAGTGATCCGGTGAGGGCGCATCTTCTTGTTGTAGTACCTGGCTACTTGTTGCTTCATGGACTCCAGGAGAATGGACGCGATATCACGCCTTTCTTCCAGCATGTCCAAGTCATGCACACGTTCCTGCTCATTGGTTTGTGCTTCGTAATTTGCCATTCTGAAAGTGGGCATGCGCATTTCAACTAGGATGATAGCCTCACTTCCATATGTCAGCCCAAATGGTATTTCACCCGTTGCTACTTTGTTCGTGCGATGCGCCCACAACACACTCGGTAGTTCCTCGACCCACCTTCCCTTGGCTCCCATCAGCCTTGTATGTAAGCCATATAATATGATTTTGTTGGCAGCCTCCGCTTGCCCATTCGCCTGGGGGTACGCCACTAACAAGAAGCGTAGGATAACGCCTGTAGTCGAACTGCTTTCCATGGTCGGCCATGATCGACTCTGGTAGGCCGAAGGGAGGGAAAATGTCTCTGTTGGTGAACCGGCTCACCTGAGCCTGTGTGATGGTCGCAAGAGGCTCAGCTTCGATCCATTTAGAGAAGTAATCGACCGCCACTATCGAGTATTTCATTTGACCAGGCGCCCTGTGAAACAGTCCCAGCAGGTCCATTCCCCATTGCGAGAATGGTCAGGCGCCTACGTTTCCTTGCATGGGCGCCGAAGGGACGTGGATATCATTCGCATGGATCTGACACTGGTGGCAACTGGACACATGCTTCTTCGAGTCCTTGTGAATTGTAGGCCAATAATATCCTTGTCGCAATAATATCTTCTCCAGGCTTCATGCCCCAACATGCATGCCACAGGCGCCTTGATGCACTTCTTCGATTGCCTCCTTGCCCTCGGCCTCCGTTAGGCACCGTAGGTACACCCCCGAATGTGACCGTTTGTACATTTGATCATTGATGATTGTGAAATGAGCGGCTTTACCTGCCACTCCTCTCGGGCTCCCTCCGGGACGATGCCACTTACCAAGTACGCCTTGATTGGCGCCAACTAGTCGTCCTCTCCTCCCGCGCTTTCCACGGCCGCCCCTACCACTGACTCTTGTAGGGGATGCTCCTTCGTGACAATCACATGCCTTTCCTCCTCGAAGTCGGTTGTTGTGGCTAATTTGAATAGGGCGTCAGCATGAGCGTTCTCCTTCCTTGGGACGTGAAGGAATTCGACGTTCTTGAACCATGCCCTCTTAGTCTTTACCATATTCAAATAAGAGCTCAAAGCTTCTTCTTTGACCTCGTACATGCCGTTTAGTTGGTTTATCACCAAGGCGGAGTCGGACCGAAGTTGGATCCTCTGCGCTCCTAGTTCTCGCGCCGTGTGTGGACCCGTTATGACTGCCTCATACTCTGCCGCATTGTTGGTTTTGAATGACGAGAAGAGCACAACTAGCTGGTGCATCGCCCCATTCGGGCTTACGGACACCACTCCGACGCCGACACCTACCCTGCTGGCCGCCCCCATCAACGTATACTTGCCAATCTACCTCTCCCATCTCTCTCTCCTTCACGACCCCTTCTGCCATGAAATCGACCAAGACTTGCACTTTAATTGCCGGACGGGGAGCATACCATATGTTGTACTCACTCAATTGCACCGCCCATTTCACCATGCGCCCTACGATGTCCATTGACCCTAGTGTACTTCTTAGCGGCAGATTGGTGAGAATGACCACAGGGTGCGCTTGAAAGTACGACCTTAACTTCTCAGCAGCCGTCACAACGGCCAAGACCTCCTTCTCAATGGGAGCGTACCGCGTCTCTGGTCATGTCATTACCTTGCTCACATAGTAAAATGGTTTTTCTTCCCCGACATCTCCCTCTTTCGACACGAGCACTAGGCTGACCGCCGTTTGCGAAACCGCTATGTATAGGTACAGTGTCTACCCTTTCTTTGGGGTCGTCATGACGGTAGGCCGTCAACAGGACCTTCAGCTGCTCAAAAGCCTCATCACATTCCTCCTTCCACTGGAACCGTGAAGCCTTCCTTAGGACGCGGAAGAACGGAGCGCCTTTATCTGCTGAACGAGGAATGAAGCACCCTAGTGCTGCCAAACGTCCGTTCAAGCTCTGCACCTCATTTGGAGTCCTTGGGGGCTTGAGGCTCCTAATTGCCTCCAACTGATCCGGTTAGATTTGATTCCCCTTACTGTGATCATAAAACCAAGGAACTTCCCAGCTTCCTCGACGAACACGCATTTCAGAGGGTTGAGGCGCAAGGCATGAAGGCACATGGTTTCGAAGGTCTCACGCTGGTCCCCCAAATGACTGCCTCTTTGCTTGATTTTAACCACCAAATCGTCGACGTATGCCTCCACATTCTGACCAATTTGGTTTTTGAATACGCTGTTTACCATGTGCTGGTACGTCGCTCTCCGAATGGCATAACCTTATAGCGATAACTCCCAAACGGTGTCATGAACGCTGTCTTCTCCCTGTCCTCCTCACACATGGGTATGCTACCCTGAGAAAATGTCAAGGAAATTGAGCGCCTCATGGTATGCCGTCGCGTCCACCAGCTGGTCAATCCTCTGCATGGGGTATGCATTAGTGGGGAAAACACGGTTCAAGCTGGTGTAATCAACACACATCCTCAATTCCCCGGACGCCTTAGGCACAAGTACCATATTAGACAACCATGTCGTGTACTTGGCCTCCTCTACGAAACCCGCTTCAAGCAATATCCCAACCTTTTTGCACAACACCGCCTCCTTCTCCTCCGTTAGAGGGCGCCTCTTATGATGACCTTCTTGATGAAGCTTCAGACTGAATTTGAAGGTATCCGCTCTTCTTTTCTTCGTCGTAATATTCTCAAACTTGAGGATTCCTTGGGGGAATTAATTGGGGAAGAGACGCGACTATGAAGGGAGGCTAAGATCGACATTCATGGTGTGGATAATTATGCTTCTGTGTTTTCTGTGGGTGAACACTCTCTGGCTGTCCCTGTGACTGCTTCCTCTGTCAGTGATACTTTGGCCGATGTTGTTGGTTCTGACCGGCCGCGTTTTCATCGCACTGCCAGGGGTCAGGTGATTTGCTATCATTGTAAAGAGTCCGGCCATGTTCAGCTGCACTATCCCAAGCGCAATCAGTGCAATTACTGTAAAGAAGTGGCCCATAAAATTGGTGCTTGCCCGATTCTTGCTAAAAAGGGATGCACGGGCTGGGTTTATCATCGTGGGGCGGGGCCTGCTCCATCCTATGCTGCGGCAGCTTCGCCTCTTGCACCAGCTGGCGTTACTTTGGGTTCTATTCGCCTGATGCTTGAAGAGGTAGTTCTGGAGGCTCTTCCGTCAACACTAGGTTCTGTATTCACAGTTGGTATGCCCTCTCGTTCATCTCCCACCTGGCATCTAGATTCTGTTGTATTTAACCATATGACTAGCTGTAGTTCCTTTTTTTGTTGTCTGCAATCTGCCAATTCTCCTCAGTTACAAGTTGCTGATGGAACATGTATTCTTGCATAAGGGATAGGGGTAGTGGATAAGCCCGGGATTTGTCTTCCGAATACTCTTTATGTGCCCAAACTTGTCCCGAATTTGGTATCAGTTGGAAAATTGGCGAAGTCTGGCTATCAAATCACCTTTGATGCTAGTGGTTGTGTTGTGCAGGACAAGAAAACGGGGAAGGAGCTAGCTAGGCCACGGGACTAAAGTTGGTCGGGTGTATCAGCTGGAGCATTTTGATGGTTCTTCTGGGATGGATTCGGACGCGAGTAGTGCTGTTGGGTTTTCTGTTAATTTGTTAAATTGGGATTTATGGCATCGTCGATTGGGTCATCCCCACTCGACCAGACTACTAGAGATGTTTAAGAATAAGCTGTTGTCCGACACTTTTGTTTCTGATTCTTCTCGTCCATGTACTCATTTTTTGGAAGCTAAACTCTCTCAACATTCTTTTAGTTCGAGTACTACCACTTATTCTGAGCCATTTGAGTTAGTCCACACAGATTTGTGGGATCCTTCTTCTGTTACGTCCCCTGTTCGCTACTTTGCTTTGTTTATTGATCAGCATACTCGTTTTTCTTGGGTATATTTTCTCCGTCAGAAATCAGACCTTCTAGAGATTGCTAAAGAGTTTGTTCAGATGATTCAA